AGATTAAAGAATGAACAGATAATGAAAAAATGTAGAAATAGAAGATTTTTTTTCCAAGCACACCAGTACAATTTATTTTGAACCTGGGACTCTGGGTTGCACAGCAGAATCTCTGACTTGAAGAAAGCAGTCTTAGAACTAAGACAAATATTTAGTTTTAAGAGCTCAGCCTACAAATTAGGAAGAATAGGGAACTTGAATGTCAGATGTATAACTTTTGTTTGTGTGTGTGTACATTTCATTTTATTTTTATCTGGTTGTATATAAAGTATATTCACACCAATTCATGTCTTCAAACATGTTTTTTGGATAGTAACGAATCATCACATTCCACCATCCTTGCTAACCCCCTGCCCCCTCCCTTCCCCTTCCACCCCTCTGCCCTATCTAGAGTTTGTCTATTCCTCCTGTGCTCCCCCTCCCTATGAATCAGCCTCCTTATATCAGAGAAAACATTCGGCATTTGTTTTGGAGGGATTAGCTAACTTCACTTAGCATTATCTAGGAGATATTATTTTTATATGGGTTAGTTAGACTTCAGTAGCCACACTGAAATTGTATGCAATTTTATTTGCAGTGCATGTCACCAGCCCAGGAACTTGCATATGTTAGCCAAGTAAGTGCTCTACCACTGAGTTATACCCTCAGCCCTGGAGGTATTTTTTTAAAGGTAGAACAGGAATATTTGTAACTATACTGAGTGATTATTAAGCAGAAGGGAAGTATTCAAGCACTTGTATTTTCAATGTGTTTGTTCTGTAGGATGATTCTACAGAATTTCACCATTTGTGTGTGTGTGGGGGGGGCAAAGCCTCAGACTTTCACCTTTTGTGTGGAAAACTCCCCTATCCTGTAGTGATTCTGTTTACACATGTAGCAGATCAGTGAGAATCACTTATTAAATCACCTGGGGGAGAAGCAAATCTATCTGGAAAATACTTTTCTCAGGAGCCCTGTTGGGGGCCTGCTGCCACAGCTGCCACTGAAGCTGTGAACAGAATAGGGTTGAATGGCTCTGTTGGTTGGAGGCCGGTGCTGCTGAGGTCAAGCTCACCGTTGAGCTTCTTCTGTGCACTGCTCAGTTCCATTATGTCACCGTCCTTGCCATAGCCTTCACCTTCATCAGCAGTATCACAAATCTTTTCATTCAGCTATTTGCCACACAGATATGGAGAGTCCACATGCAAAAGGCTCTGAAAGTGTGACAAGCTCCTCATTATCGAGAATACAAGTAACAATAAATGTTGATGAGGACGTGGGGAAAAAGATGCACTATACATTGCTGGTGGGACTGCAAATTGGTGCAACCACTCTGGAAAGCAGTATGGATATCCCTAAAAAAACTAGGAATGAAACCACCACTTGACTCTCTTATTCCACTCCTTGATTTATACCCAAATGACTTAAAATCAGCATACTACAGTGACACAGCCACATCAATGTTTATAGCACAATTATTCACAATAGCTAAGCCATGGAGCCAACATAGGTGCCCTTCAACACATGAATGGGTAAAGAAAATGTGGTATATAACACAATGGAGTATTACTCAGCCATAAACAAGAATAACTTTATAACATTTTCCCACAAACAGATGGATCTGGAAACTATCATGCTAAATGCAATATGCCAATACCAAAAAAACAAAGGCTGGATGTTTTCTCTAATATATGGAAGCTAACTCACAATAAGGGTGAGGGGAGAAGAATAGAAGTTCAGAGATTAGACAAAGGGGAATGAAGGGAAAGGTGGAGGATAGGAAAAGGAAAGACAATGGAAGGACAAAATTTTCATATGTACATATATGACTATACCACAGTGGATCTGACCTTATACATCCATAAGAAATTAATTTTAAAAAATACTATGGGTAAATAGTAGAAATATCAGTAGACCCTCTGATCTCTTTCAGATCATCCTGGTTAAACCCAAATGTTCAAGCTCTTTATGCTGGCTTTTCACCTGACTTTTCAGGCCCCTCAACTCAGTTTATATTTCTTAGTTTGCTTCAGTAGTCCCAAATCTGAAAATAAGTGTGCTCTATCTTATTACATCCATTCTTGCTACTTAGTTAGATTGCTAGGAATAGCAATACAAAATAAATAGATCATATCACTTCTTTAGAATCTACTGGGGTCTAATATTCTTTAGCTAGAAAGTTAGCTCACAGAAATGGAATTCTACTAGTGGAAATTTAGTATGGCAAAATATTTGCTTATATATGGGCCTTCATAGAACCTTGATATCATATCCTTTGACTATTTAATGGGAAAAAACCCTGTCAGTCTCTCTAAATACCTATGGCATAACCTTGTACTGTAAATACTAAGAAAGAAAAAAGAATAAAGGGGATAACATTTAGAAATCATGTTCCCCATTACTGGTTTGTGTTCTCCAAGTACATCCTCTCTGATACCTAACACAAGGTAACAGAAGAAAAAAAAAGAGGGTATAAATCTATTAAATCAAATGCATGTTGCTTAGATGCTACTTAAAAGAAAATGAATTCTCAGTGTACTCTCAAGGTCTATATGAAAAAGCTAATTGTCAGAGCAGTTAAATGTTTCAAACTCTTGTTTAGCATAATTGTTGTAACTCAGTACCCTTTTGATTATCTTCAATACCAATAATGTCTCATCACTTATGGGCCAAACTGGTTTGTTAACATTGTAAAAGTGTAGATAGTTCAGATGTAACAGTTCAGAAGAAGGAAGTAAAGGAATTTAGGGAGCAAATGAAAAAGAAATCAAGAAGATTTTTTTCTATCAAATAAATAACTATAGAGGTATAAGCTATTTTGCCAAGTCTAATTTATTGATTCAAAAACAATTACTGTGCATCTTAGGGTTTATAGAGAATAAGAAATAGAACATGGTTCTCTTTTTATTGTCTCCATGTTTTCTTTGTTTCCATTAATCAACTTTTAAAATCCATCTATGAAAAAGTTAAATTTCCTAAAATATTTCTACCATTGTCCTCTGAGTTATTTAAATGCATGGGAACAGTTTCATGATAATCCATAAGAAGGAATAAGACAAAATTCACTTCAAAATGATAAAATAAATATTAAAATTGCATCTAGAGATATGTTTTCAGTAATTTACTTTAACCCCCCAAAGTTTAATTAATTCAAATTTCCCTCTCTGTTCATGAGTGATAAGATTGACAAATCATAGGTAAACAAGCCAAAACCAAGGGGAGAATAAAAAGGACCCCAAGAGATAGCCAGTTATCAGTATATATTTAGTCAAATCTATATCTTCTTGGCTTTAACAGTAAACAGTGGTCATTAAAATCCATAGTGATGAATTTGGTACTTCTGAATACTCAAAGAAGTTTTATATACCCTTCAGTATAAGTTTAATGTGAGTTTTTTGAATCTAGTATTTACTTCTAATGAATACTTCACATATTAACAATTCCGGCAACTTATAATAAAAAGCACATTTGCAGGAGCGAAGAGAAAAAATCAAGTCAGAAAAAAAAGATCAGAAACTATGAAATTCAAAAAAATTCTTAGGCTATAGAAAAGTTCCTCAAAATGGTATACCTTTGCAAATAGACAATTATTTTGCCAACAACCTGAAGTCTATTCATGTATCTTTCTCTTGGAAGTTCTTGAACCCTGGTTCAATAACCCTTCACATACAGAAAGTGAAATCCTGAGGTATGATGGTTATTACACTTGGGCATTACATTTAACTCTCAAATTCCTGTCAAATGAGGTGAAAAAGTTAAATACATTGGGTTACTAAGTTCTCAACATCTAAAAAGGGAAGCAGATCAGTTCACAAAATTTTAAGCAAAACTTGTAATTTTAAAATGGCAGTGTTTATACATTTTATGAAATGATTAATTTTTAAACAGTAATCAAGTAACATAAAAGGATGTAGCATAATTTGATGAAATTCTTCAAAAATAAGCAATCAGAGGAAGAATATCTATGCTAATTATATTGACTACCATATTAAATTAGCTGCAGTGTCTCATTTCTAGCCTTTCTGGTAAAGAGAAAATTTTCTATATATGACTTTCTTTAAAGGTAGATTTACCTACCTAATATTATTTGATTAAAGCTGGCATTAATCTAATATATTCCCATGAGCACATACCAGCTAAGCAGCAAGGGAAACCTAAGGGTATAAAGAGAAATTGACCTGTGATTAAATATCTACTATTAATACTTCATACCATAGAAAAATGACATGCATTTGATAGCAAATAATCACTTTAGGTGCCCACTCCTTCTAACCACAACATTATTATCTCAAAGTCAGCTAAATAACAAATTGGTTCTCATTACGGTTATAGGCATAGGCAGTACACACTAGTTAAGAATATAGTCCCTGCAATCAGAGATGGGTTTTCCACCATTTAGTAGCTGTTTGACCTTGGGTAAGGTCATTTAATTTATTTGAGTCTCAGTGTCCTCATCAGTAAAATAAGAATGCCACTGTTATCTCAGTCCTGTTCCTAGACTGTGCTGGGGCCTCTTGAAAATATTTGCTTTGTGTGACTCTTGCATAATAAATTATTTGAGTCACCTAAGAGAAATACATCACTGCTATTCTAGCAGCCCAATTTCACATGGCTCTGCAAAGGAAATACTCAATAGCTAGTAGGAGCAATTCAGTTGCCCAGACACTCTGCTGGAATTGGGATCTGGCTGGGAGATCTCAGAACAATCTTGTTGGTATGAGTGCTAGAACTCCTAGGAGGATCTTGATTACCAAGTTTAAGGTTGCTACAGTTGATTGGAAAAAAAAAAACACCTAGAGGTACAGAGCTAGAGCAGGTTCCTATTTGATATAGTCTAAGAAAGATACTGGTCTAACTCATAGGGTCACTGAGAAGGTTTAATAAAGTAATCTATGTAAAGAACTTGACTCAGTACCTGGCTCATAGAAAGTTCTCAGTACATGATGGCAATGATGGTTGCTCTTATCATTATTACCAAACATGCACACTGAATCTCATGACTCATCTGGTTTTTGTTTCAGTGGATGGCTGCATTGACTGGTCAGTGGATCTCAAGACATACATGGCTTTGGCAGGTGAACCAGTTCGAGTGAAATGTGCCCTTTTCTACAGTTACATTCGTACCAACTACAGCATGGCCCAAAGCACTGGGCTCAGGCTTATGTGGTACAAAAACAAAGGTGATTTGGAAGAGCCCATCATATTTTCAGAGGTCAGGATGAGCAAAGAAGAAGATTCAATATGGTTTCACTCAGCTGAGGCACAAGACAGTGGATTTTACACTTGTGTTTTAAGGTAAGTATCATGTGAAAATATTACTCAATCATGTGGCTGATAGTCTTTTGATTGGGACTGGAGTATATGCAGATGTACCTCACAGTATATGGTGAATATGTTCTTAAAAGCTTACAGGATGGGGCTGGGGTTGTAGCCCAGGGGTAGAGTGCTCGCCTAGCATGTGTGAGACGCTGGGTTTGATCCTCAATACCACATAAAAATAAATAAAATAAAGGTATTGTGTCCAACTAAAATTAAAAAAAAAGCTTACAGGATATGGAGTACTTCAGTAAATTCAATTCTAATTACCTATTGAAAATATGCAGCAAATTTGTATCAAATTATCATAAAGTACTGTGTGTGCTTATTTAATATAGAAAATTGTGTGACTCTTTTCTTTTCCAACTCCACCCCTGCCCCAGGGTCTTATATGAGTAATTACTTTTCCATAGAGCCAATTGGCTCAATGATCTTGATAGCTGGCCATGAAAATGACATTAAGTATTGTTTAGGCCAAGGTCTCTCTTTCCTTGTTGATGGAAATTAACTCCAATGCTGCTAGGAGGCCTCTTAGCAAAAGAGCTACTGTTAATATCCTTTGTAGAATTTTCAATGTGAGTTTGTTTCTACTGTGTCTAAATATTCAGCACAGATCTCTGTAAACACACAACCATCCTGAGTTTCTAGGTGCTATACTGGGAAGATTTCACAGACATAATTCTTGCTTGCAAGAAGTTTACAGTGAAAAGCAATCTGTTTTATCTTTAGGGATTGTACAATATGTCTTCCCTTCCCCCTCTCTATCCCAGTACTAGAATCTAGGATCTAGCATCTCATATAGGGACTGGATTAGGTATTGAAGTAGATTGCTGAGATGACCTTTAAATCACCTTTCAATTTTGCCATTTTGAGAGTCTCTGATCTTGCTCACCAGGGATCTGCACTCTACTATTTGATTTTAACTTTTGAAAATACAGACCCTATTTTTGTCTCCTGTGGACTTTGATGCCAAAGCTATGTCATTTCTTCATCAAAAACACTTGGAACTGCCTGGTGAGGTCTCATTGTTCTAAAGGGCAGGAGAACAAGGTGGTGTATAAAATTGAGAACCTTCTTGATGCCTTAAGAATCACTTTAATGTAGGGAGGGGAATGTTGGAAGAACAAATGGTGAGTTCAGTGTCTGTTTGAGGTAGAAAAAATCCCCAGGATTTTGGCGGAAGCATCAATTATTTTCATCACACCCTTAGTGTGCAGCTCTTGGCAAAATTGAGAAGTAGGTGTAATTCAGCTATAGTGATTGAAACTGTATTTTCTAGGGTGTTGTTACTCTTTTTCCCACTCACACCCTCTATATCCTCCATCCTCACTGCACAATCTGCCAATCAAAAAGATCCCTTTCTCTCCACCTACCTCTATTGTTTTTGTTTGTTTGTTGTTTTCACAAATTTAATGTTTATTTGCAAAGCATTAACTCAGTATGCACAGGTTTATAATGAGTCAATTAACTAATTATTGTTTACTTCCTCTGCCCTACTTATGTCCTCAGTCTAGATACCTCTCCTCTTTTTCCCTCCCCCCTCTAAACCACTCTCCTACTCCTAGCAATGATAACAACTTAGTGTGAACATTTCATGTGTTTTCCTTACTTTTTAAAAAACTACACAAACATTTTACATGGAGATTCTCCTCATTGTTTTACAAAATAAAAGCAGGATTATATATTTCTCTGCATTTTATTTTCTTAGTAAAATAAACTTAGTAGTAATCTCTCCAAGTCATTTGAGAGCTCACTCACTCTTTTTTTAGTGTATAATATTCTGTGTTGCTTAATATTTTATAATACCACAATTGAAATATTAATTTTCCTATTGAAGAATATACACTTTGTTTACAGATTTTTATGTGTATAAAAGTGCTATAACAAAAATTCCCTATTTATTTTTAAATATACTTTTAAGCTTTAGAATAATTTGATTTACAGAATTATTTCAATGAAAGTACAGTTTCTGTATATTTTTCACTCTTATTAATATCTCACATTGCCTATGATATATTTATTACAACTAATAAACAAATGAACAAATGTAATAGTGGTATACTGTACAGTAAATACTTTCTTTGTATTTCCTGAGTCTTTCCTTAATATCCCTTTCTGTTTCAGGATCCCATCTGTAATACCTTATTACATGTAGTTGTCATGTCTCCTTTAAGCTCTTTTTGTCTGTGGCAATTCATCAGACTTCCCTTGTTTTTGATAACCTTGAATGTTTGAGGTGTATCAGTCAGATGTGTCTTAGTTGAAATATATCTGGTGTTTTCCTCATGGTTAGACTGGGATAATGTGTTTTGCAGGGGAAGTCTGTAAATGTAAAATACCATTCTCTACACATTGTATCAAGGGTGGAATGGATCAATATGACTTATTACTGTTGATGTTAACCTTGATCACCTGGCTTGAGGTAGCATTTGCCTTTTTTCACTGTAAAGTTGCTGATTTTGCCTTCCTTTCCATACTGTAGTCTTTGGAAGAAAGTCATTATTTACAGTTTACAGTTGAGGGTGGGGAGTTGTGTTCTACCTCTTTCAGGGTGGAATATCTACAAGAATTATCTATAACTCTTTTACATGGGGAGATTTGTCTTTTCTTCTGTATTTATTTATTTATTCAATCATTTAGTTTTATTAGTATGGACTCATGGATATTTATATAATACACTGGATTGTAATGCAATTCTATTTTATTTTCTTGCTCCAAATCTCTCAAATTTGCCCATTGGGAATTCTTTCATTGGCTTTTTTGTTCCTTTGTTATAACCCCATCAATTTGGGATTGTTTTGCTTACTTTTATTTTTTGTAGTACTTGTGAATGAACCCAGGGGTGCTGAATTCCTGACCTATATTCCCAGCCCTTTTAATTTTTATTAGTTTTAAAATTTTTGAGAGAGGGTCTCACTATGTTTCCCAGGCTTGTCTCAAACTTGTGATCCTCCTGCTTTAGCCTCTCAAGTAGCAGGGAATAACAGGCATGTGCCACTGCAACCAGATATTTTGCTTTTTTTTTTTCTCAGCATTTTCTTACATTACCAAAAAGTGTTTCCAGCTTATTTTGTGTATTCCTGCCTCAGGCTGAGAATTAGAGAATTATCCATTTTCCCAAGAGCCCTGCCTGATTCACTTTAATAGAGAATAGCACTAGAAATAAAGATTCAGGTGCTAGGTGTACTCATTTCTTCTACGGTTTTGGTGCTTCTAAGTCCTATCAGCTGAAAATTTGTTTGCTTTTAAATGAAATAATGCATGATTTCATGCACAAGTTCACAGATGGTGATGGAATACTCTGAGAATAATGAAACTTCCCAATATCCTGGAAGTGCTTTCCTATACATGGCCCTCTTTCAAGTACACATCAGATTCAACTTGTTTATATCTATTGTAGATAAAATCTGAGTTAGTGGTTCTCAATTCACATATAAGTCAGTAAAAGAGAAAGGGATGTCATTCTATTGAGCACAGGCTTTGATTCAAGTATAACTGGTACCTTCTTTTGTTTATGCAGAAGGCCTTAGGGAACAATTGGAACTGATTGTGTTGGGTGAAACTTTTGAATATTATCTATCATATGTATTTTTGTTAAAGAGAAGCAAAATTTGAAAACCACTGTTCTAAAAGAAGCAACCAGAACAACAAGAAAGATGACCTGAAAGGGGGATGATTAGAAATCAGGAAGGAGATCTGGGGCAAAGGGGTAGGAGATGGGAGTGTGGACATGATCAAAGCTCAATATAGGCATGTATGGAAATGCCACAGTTACAGTGAAACCTATTAATTTGTACAATTACTACAACTTAATAATTATAATTAAAAAGAATCTTACACATTTGACAGATTAAAGTCTTAAATTAATTGTAGTCAGTTAATTATACTTAAAGAACTTGGAATTTGGATAAATGATTTAAATATCATACAGAAAGATAAGCTTGTGAATATAGAAAAATTAATTCAAAGAATGTATAAGAATAATCTAGTCTGTTAACACATAAAAGAATGTACACAAATGTGCAATGTGTCAGGCTTAGTGGTATGTATCTGTAGTCCCAGATATTTGAGAGGCTGAGGCAGGAGGATCACTTGAGCCCAGGAGTTTGAGGCCAGTCTGAGCAATATAGTAAGACCCCATTTCCAAAACAAAAGTACAATAGTGTTTTCCATCTATCAATCATCCAACATGAAATGATAATCAAGAATTTTAACAACTAGAACAGTAATGTTCAATAAAATAATAATGAAACACAAAGAAAATATAAAGGAAGCAACCATTATTGTCAACTCAAAGACATAGAAATTGTATTTAGTATACATAGATGAAGTAACTATCATTTTTTTCTGTGAATAACAAACATTTCTGATCTAGTAGTAGCCGCTGACTTCAAATATGTGCCAAGTGATAAATTCCCTCCATATAGGTGATTTTATATAATTGTTGAGTGACATTTATAGTTGAAAAAGGTTCTTAAATTGACAGTGTTGATATTCACCTAAAATTCCTAATTTGATACTTCAATTTAACCACAAATGAGTTTTTTAACCTCATTAGAAATTATTTATTTCATTGTGTTTGAAATACAGATATGAAATATTATTAATACTCTTCACCTATTTAAGTCATAGTAAGGTTACTGTTTGTGATAGTTCAGTAACTAATTACTTTAAAATTTTTATTTAACCTGTCTCAGGAGAAATTATTTGAATTTATCATCATGTTAATAGATTAGGAATAAATGATTAGTGGAAGATAAAGTCATATTTTGAGATGCAGTGCCAATCCAAGAGTTCCTATTTTCCTACCTCCATACCCGAATCTTTTCAATGAAGGCATATAATAGAATAATGATATACTAATCTTTTCTGACAAAACCCACACATCACTTTCTCAATAAGGTTGACATAAACTGTGGATGAAGACAAATATAGTAATATTATAATCCTGAGTTAAATTCATGGATATTGAAAAAAAT